ATATGTATATGAGCAAACAGCCCTGAATATACAGCATGGTTGTCACTCCTTATTCAGTGTGGGGAAATACATATTGTCCTGTGATTGCTTTGTTCAGTGATTTCATTTTACCCAAATTCTGGGACACTAATGTCCCTATGCATCTCTATCCACAATCTTTATGTCACCAACTTGGGAAACCATGTATTTTATAAATGCATAATTCATATGCAAGACATGAAGTTGGAATGGACCCATAGGAGAAGCACCTTGATGCTAACACAAGATGTCACTCTTACATTATTTCCTAGAAAATTCTCTTTCATAACCTACGGACTGGATCACCTAAGGTGGAAAATCACGTTTTTACCACGGTAAACCCTAAAGAGGTATCATGCGAGGAATATCCAAGGTCAGAAAAGGAGACATCATACACTTCTCTCCTACTGTGTTTTCAAGCCAAGCATGGCTGTGCCTTGAAAGGGAGTGTGCTGATCCTTCTGGGTCTAGTACAAGGGTTTGGCCCTGTGCATATGTCAGTGGGAGGGCTGTTTTGGTTTGATGAGGAATACATCGTTGTATCTCATCCTGGGTCAAGTAATTGCATGTTGGGAACTTGGAACCAGCTAACAACGTGATACCTTTGTGATGTTCCAGAAGGAGCATCATTAGGACACCATTAGGCCAGAAAACATCCTGATGTTAGGGGTAGGAAGCTTCTTTGGTTTCTTTTTCTTTTCTTTTTGAGAAAGAGTGTCACCACATAGTGCAGGCTGGCCTTAAACTCACTTCTGTACCTCAGGCTGGCCTTGAATTCAGCAATCTTCCTGCCACAGTCTCAGGAGTACTGGAATTACAAGTATGTCCACCATGTCTGGCCCATTTTTTTTCCTTTTTTAAATTTTAACTTAAATTAGTACATGTTTGCAGTATATAATTATTGCATTCATCATGGGGAGTTGTTACATGTATATAACATATCTTAATTCTTAATTCTTTTTACATACTTTTCCTCTCATCTCTCTCTCCTCTCCCTCCATTTCTTAAAAAAGACTTATCTCTCTGTTTCTTGTTGTCTATCTTTTATTTTGCCCTTTAATTTACTTATACTTTGGGTTTTTCATATAAGAGAAACTATGTGACATTTAAGCTCGTGTGTGGATTTATTTCATTTAACTTTATGGTCTCAAGGTGTAGCCACTTACCTAATAATGCCTCAAATTTATCCTTTATAGCAGAGTTGTTTTTCTTCCTTATGGAGTAAAATCTACTTTATGGTCTTTCACAATTTGTCCCTAATCAATGAGAATTTTTTATGAAGGTACTTTTTCACACTCCAAAAGGAGGTCAATTTTTAAATTTTTAATTTAGTTTTTTGTGATGAATCAGAGTCTTGCACCTAGTAGGCAGATGCTTTACTACTAAGATATACCGCTTCTAGCATCTCTATATCTTCAATCAAAATTATTAAGAAACAGGTAAGGAAAACAAACGATGCCTGCTATGATGGTTTCTCATTCTCTTAGGAAGATAGGATTGATTGTCTTCCAGGAAACCATCCTTTGAGCATTTTAAATTCTGCAGTCTGCTTTGGAGCTCCCAGTTTTAGGTTCAGTGTCACGGTGCTGTGTCATTCGTGTGGCTGAGTGCGCTGGATATTGTTGACTGACAGTCAATATCCACTCCCATCTCCTTTGTAGAGTCCCTCCTTGTTCTGCAAAATCTGGAAAGGCCATGGCTAAGTTCTAGAAGGAAAAAGTGAGGAAAAGTGGGAGGAGTTTCTGCAGCAGAGTTCCAGTGTCTTGTCGCTAACCTCATGGAACTGGGGGAGTCTTTTAAGGGGCAGCAAGAATGGTGATGATGACTTCCTTATCTCTGGGTCAACCCACATCCGTATTATGTGGATTTGAAAGGTATGGTGATGCTCTCCTAATTTCTCAGCTTCCTGATTGTGGCAGAGATGGCAGCCACCCCGGTGGGACAGTTTGGAGTCATTCTTACAGGGTCAGCCTCTTTAGATTTCACCATGTACATCAACATTCCTTGCATGCATCTTATGCTGTTTTAACTTACCAGAGTGGTTTTGGCTTACTCTGACTGAACCTTGGCAGGTCTGCTGAGCTTCAGAACTTCTCATACTAAAAGTTTTATTAGTCCACGTGGAGGGAACAAGTCTCACAAAAGATCAAATGAGATAGAGGAATCATAAGACCACCACATTATCCCTTATGCCTGGCTGCTGCAGGCATGGCCTATTCAGGCCGCCCTAAGACACCCCTTTACTTTAGCAGTCTGGATTGTTTCTGAGCCATCCAACACAGGACACATATACCATAGCCATAAAATTTGGTAACTGAAATTTAGATCCTGGTTACAGGAGAAATTTCTGGAGACTGGAGATGAAGAATTAAGAATGCAGGGTGAGTTCCACTTACAGTTGTAATTAAAGTGAAGGCATTGATAACACAAATTCTCAGGTTAGAGGACACAAAACGTTAAGCCTGGAGAAGCCTGATGGTCCTTACTTTTGATGACTTCTCTTTTGCCCTGGTGATCAGAAATCCTTTGGAACCTGAGTTTACGTTTAGGAACTGAGTGGCAATATGGCCATGAGGAGAGGACAGATGTAACAGCTCCTGTCCCTTACTGGGTACTTGACTTGGCAAGAGATAAATAAACTGTTTTTCTTTGATAGGTAGTACAGTGGTCCTTACCTAACATTTTATGTAATCTTTAGAGTGAACTCTATAGTTTTGCCTATTTTGTTGTTACTGTTTTGCTGCAGGGGCTTGAACCTAGAACCTCATACATGCTAAGCACATACTGTACTACTGAGCCATATCCCAAGCTTCTGAAATTTGTTTTTGACAAATTTTTATTCTATTTTTTGGTTTTTTGAGACATGGTCTCACTATGTAGCCCATGCTGGCATGGAACTTGAGGCAATCTTCTGGCCTTACTCTCCTGGGATTACAGATATGTGCCACCACAATCAGCTTGTCAGCATGCTTTAAAATATACACCCTAAGCCAGCTTCTCTATTTCTACTACATCTACCTTGACTCCAGATAATGGGATCTTTCAGTAGGACCATAATAATGATATCACCACTCTCTCTCAGTCTGCTGTATTTATGAAAAAATTCTATACTCCTTCACTTGGCCTAAAGCCTCTATGTAACTGGTTTCTGCCTCTCTATCCCATCACATTTCCTGATACGTGGGCTGCCTACATAATGCATACAGTCTGGTGCAAAATGAAAATGCATGGCTCTTTGTTAAAAAATAATTAAGATCTGGGTGTGGTGACACACTCTTGTAATACTAGCACTCAGAAGGCTGAGGCAGGAGGATCGTAGCAAGTTTGAGACTAGTCTGGGCTACATAGTGAGCCCAAGGCCAGCCTGAACTGCATAGTGAGATCCTGTTTCAAAAAGACAAAAAAAAAAAAAAAAAAAATTAAGACTTGCATGAGGACAACAGCACAGCATTTATCCAAGTACAGGCCCTTCCTTTCTGAGCAGAGCCCTATGAAGCTACAGTTGAGTACCCACAAAGAGTACCCACTTGCCACTCACCCCTTCACCTCAGTGAAGGTTCCAATCTGTTATAGAGCATTTACATTAGCTCTTTTCCTGCCTGAAATGCTCTTCTGTCGCATGTGAGCACAGCTCATGCCTTTTCACTAGAGTCTCAGCAGCTGAGAGGCCATCCCTGACTCCCAACCAAGCAGCCATTCAGCCACTTTTTGTTGTTGCCTGTTTTATTTTCTATTTCCTTTTTCTAGTTCTGTGTTTAAATATTGACCTTCTCTCTCTCTCTCTCTCTCTCTCTCTCTCTGTCTGTCTGTCTGTCTCTCTCTCTCTGTCTCTCTCTCTCAAGGGTGAGTTGTCTGGGCTGGGGATTTAGCTCAGGGGCATAAGCGCCTGCCTTGTAAGTAGGCAGTCGTGAGTTTGATCCCTGCTATCGATAGAGACAACAACAACAACAACAACAAAAAAAAAAAAAAAAAAAAAAAAAAAAAAAAAAGCTTCAGTTGTCCCCACCTACATTCTTTTGTTGAAGTCTCATCCCTTGTACTTCATAATGTGGCCTTACTTGGAAATAAGATCTTTGCAGATGTAATTAGCTAAGATGTGAACCTAATCCAACATGACTGGTATTCTTTAAAAAGGAGACATTTGCACCGTGAGACTGTACAAGGAAACAGCATGTGAAATGAACCAAAGACAGAGACCTGGAACAGATCTTTTTCTCACAGTCCTCAGAGGGAACACCCTGCCAATACCTTGATTTCAGACCTCTAGAAGTGTGAGACCATAATGTGCAGTGTACAGCACCTTGTTGGTGGTACTGTGTTATGGTAGCCCTAGAAGTTAAAGCACCGCCTTTAGAACTAAGTGCGGAGACCTGCAGCCGGGCTTGTGTTGTACACAGCTGTCCTACTACGTGCCCTTGCACCTTGTAGTGCTGTTGAACTGTCTCGCAAATTGGTATGAACCTGAAAGCCTAAAAAGGGAAGAGTGTTGTATCGTTTATCCCCTTAACTCAGTGAAGGTGGATTGTGGGTGTACAACAAAACCTGTTGAGTAGATTAAATCATTTCACTTAATTGTTGGTTTCTGACTAGAGCACCGGTAGGCATAATGTGGGCGACTGAAAAACCACAGCTGTGACACCCTAGGCTGCGTTGGTGCCCACGATGTGCATTCAACTTTCTGGACAAAGACATAATACTTGGCAGATCTCTCAAGGGAGACTCAAGAGGCCAAACCGAGATACAGCTCTGTACAAGCACAGGTTCTTGCTCCTTTTGCCATCTTGGTACTTGTAGTCTTGTCCACTGTATCGTTACCCGAAAAGCCAGAGCTGAAACCACAACTCCCAACACCGCGAGAACACTGGAGCCTTCAGAGCGCATCCTCTGGAGGGGCGCCAGCGCCGTTGACTAACCTGCTGGCCGAAGGGCCCGCCTCCCGGAGCCCAAGAGCCGCCGCGATTGGCTCGCTGCCCCGCCTCTCACCGGAGGGGGCGCCAGGTGAATGAAAGGGGGGCGTGTCGGTGCGCGTAGCTCTGTGGCGGCGCGGCTGGAACCTGGTGGAAGGTGAGCGCGGAGCAGCGGGTCCACGCTGTCATATTCTTTGGTTTGGGAAAGATTCGGGGTACCCAGGAAGGCCGGCCAGGGAGACGGGTAATCGGGAGGGTTATTAGCCTCCTTTGGGCCACCCGGACCTGGCAACTCCCGGGGCCCCAGCAGTGCGATCCCGCCTCGGTGGACAATCCGCTTCTGCCTCCAGCTTGGGCAGGGGCGCGCGCGGCGACTTTTGCCCCCCTTCGTCTGCATGCCCCCCACCCCCGTCGTCCAGCTGGGGTCGGGTGCCTGCTCACTCCGATGGCGAACGATGCCAGGGCTCGAGGGCTTGGCCAGACTGGAGCAGTGTCCGCTGCGACGATGGTCACTTTGTCTGTGGGAGGCCACGGGTGTGGTAAGGCCTAGGGGCTGCACCTCCGGCGGCAGAGGACTCTGACCAGTAGCAGGTTCCTGTGGTCTCTGCGGGTCCACTGGTTCCGGACGAGGGACACCCTTCTTGGTTTTGTGAGCAATGTAGCGGATAAATCAAAGATGCAACTGGCCTTGAAATTCTGCCTGTGCAAATGGAAAGTCTTTTCTGGTGTCTTTTCTCTCCTCTCCACGTGTGAGAGAAAGGTCTGGTTCCCCAGTTTGCCGCACACACAGATATCTTGGAGGGTTTGGGGAGATCAGTCAGCATAGTGGCTAAGGCTGTCAACTCTGGAATCAACTGAATCTGAGTTCCAAATCCTATTGTGGACATATTATCTTCATGTTTCCTCCTCAAAAAAGAGATGTAATACAGTATCTACTGTCCTGTGTCACATGTGAGATTAATATGTTTGTAGTTTGCTCGCTGCTTCATAAGCAGTAGCGCTCAGAGAACGTTAACAATTGAGGAATTTTTTTGTGTGCTTAGATTGCTGAGGTAGAAGCATTGTCAGAAAGTGGGCTGGGATTTGAAGCTACTTTTGGCCTCCAATCAGAGACAGTTTTGTGGGCTGGCTAGGGTTTCCTCAAGGGTGTACAGGAGTTTGTAAAGAAGGCAGTAGTGTGGACATCTGCTTTCTCCAGGAAGGCAGGCACTGTACTCGGTTTTTCTATTCCTTACCTCTTCCTTGTGTCAGGCAGTGCACCTGTAGCTAATAACTGTGGAAGTGAATCCAAACTATGAGAGACTGAGTCTCTTGCCGAGTGTGAAAAATGTGTTTTTGAGAGCAGTTAATCCTTAGCTGCTTTTGTGAAAGAAGTGGTGATCCTCAGAATATCCTAGGGATGCTAAGCATCAAAGGTAAGTGGGGTTGGTAAGAAATAAAAATTTCCTCAATCTATTCCAATGTAGGATTGGGGAAAGGTTTGAAGAAACTCTGTGGCCAGACTCTTGCAAAGTCAGGGAATGTTTTCATGATGCCAAAGAATCAAGAATATTTACAATGGTGCACGTCTGTAATCCCAGATATTTGAGAGACTGAAGAAGGAGGATTTTAGGTGAAAGGCAACCTGGGCAATTTAGTGAGATTCAGTCTCAAGGTAAAATATTAAAAGGGACTGAGAGCCATGCACTGTGGCACATTCCTGTAATACCAGTAGTCTGCGAGGCTGAGGCAGGAGAATTGCAAGTTTGAGCATAGCCTGGGCAACTCAATGAGATTCTTTCTTAAAATAAAAAATTAAAGAAGGGCTGGGACTGTAGCTCAATGTGAAGACCTTGGAGCCCTAGGTTCAACCCCCAGTTCGGCAAGAAAGGAAGAGAATTTGGGATGTAGCCCTGTGATAGAGACCTTGCCCAGATACAAGAGGCCTTAGATTTGATCCCAAGTACGGAGAAAATAAAATTAAAACAGAGTATGGTACATACTTATGTATTTATCTACCTTGTTTGTCCGCTCTTCTCTTTTTATTTTTTATTTTTGTACTGAGGATCGAACTCACAACCTTGCGCTTGTCAGGCAGGCACTTATACCACTGAGTTAAATCCCCGACCCTTCTCTTTTTTCTTAATTGAAAACAAATAAAAGCAATATACGCATGTAGCAAAACATTCCAACTGTACTGGACGGTGTTTTGCTTTTGAGATTAATGTCTCAATATGTTGTCTAAATTGCTCTTGAATTCCTGGGCTTAAGCAACCCGCCTGCCTCAGCCTCCCGAATGTTAGGGACTACTGGAACGTACCACTGTGTCCAGACAGGAAGGATTAAAATGAAAAATGAAGTTCCTAAAAAAAAAAAAGAAAAGAAAAATAAAAAGAGAAAGAAAAATGAAATTCTTTTGACACATTCTTTTCAAGGTATCTGTTGTTTCCTTTTCTCGAATAACTTCCTAGAAAAGAAATTTCATCTGTATACCAAAAAGACATATATATAAAGGATTGTACTGTACATTTATTTTGGATCTTGCTTTTATCTTAATATATCTTGGTAATCTTTTCATATAAATATATGTCTTAGTGATATTTTCATATAAATATAGATAATTCTACATGATTGTGTCAACCTAAAGAGCAACCAGATTGATTTTCTAAAGATCAAATTTATTAGCAACCAGGTGTGGTAGTGCACATAATTCTCCCGCCTCTGACTCCTCAGTGCTGGAATTGAAGGTGTGTACCACACAGGGAAAGTTTTGAAAGGCAAAATGAGGAAGGTTATGTGAAATATTTTGAAACCAGTTGTGGTGATGCATGCCTGTAACCCCAAGACTCGGGAGGCCTAGGCAGGGGGATCCCCACAGGTTCAAGGCCAGCCTGGGCCACATAGTGAGACCCTGTCTCAAACAAACCAAAACAAACAAAAAAATAAAAATAAAAAAAAGATTTTCAAACAATAATCCTTGGCTATCAGGATCAATATCAAGGTTAGCATCAACCTGAGATTAAACACTGGATAGACAAGTGTCCTTGCAGAAGTATTTTGTGAAAATGCAATGACTTTTGTGCAAGCCTATGGTTGTGGCACACTTATTTTTTGGTGATAATTCTTATTATCAGGAAAAACAGGAATAAATATGAAATTTCCTCTTTCATTTGTAGGGCTTGACACAAGAATCATTTTGATTCTGACAGTTTTCACAGTTGCTTACTGATTTAGTGATTGTCATCATTGATTTAACTTGTCCACTATTGATGAATATTCAAATTATTTCTACTTTGTTTTGTTTTGTTTTTTCTTTTGGGACAGTCTGCCTGTGTAACCCGGTTGACTTCAGACTCCTGATCCTTTGCCTCAGCCTCCTGAATGCTAGAATCACAGGTGTGTGTCACCATGCCTGGCCACATTGCTACTTTTGTGGTAACCCAAAAACCTGATACCATATATGTCTCTGAACTAATCATTTGATTTTTGTTTTGTTTTGTGGTACTGGGGATGGAGCCTAGGGCTGCTCTACCATTGAGCTATATTCCCACCCTTTTTTATTTTTCATTGTGAGAACAAGTGCTCCTTCCTCAGTGCTAGGGTTAGAGTTGTGCGCAACCACACTCAGTTGAATTTGGTATGTTTCAGAAAAATATATACCATGTACACGGACAGGTGCTCTATGATGTTGCCACTGTGTATGTCTAAAATGTACTAATTAAAAAATAATAGTAAAAAAAATTTAAAGTTTTTTTGATATGTCTCAGGGAATAAATCCAAAATTTATAGGGCTGAACTTGCTGGTGCAAAAGTTGTGTGCATTTTTTTTTTCTTTTTTCTTTTTTCTCCCAACAGACAGGGCCTTGCTATGTTCCCTAGGCTAGCCTTGAACTTCTGGGCTTGATTATTCCCCCCACCTCAGCCTCCTAACTAGCTGGAACTATCATACTACTGCACCTAACTTGCATTCTAAATTTTGATAAATATTGCCAAGTTTTTCTCTATTATATTGCATCCCCTCCAACACTGGGTTTTAGCACATTGAAAAATGTGATTTTGCCATTTGATAGGTTTTCTTTCAGTGCTGAGGTTGAATAAAATGTAGTGTTTTTGTTTTGTTTTGTTGGTATGTGGGAATCAACTTCATGATCCCTTGCTTGCCAGGCAGACAGTGCTCCAGCCTTTGGTTTTTTTTTTTTTTTTTTTTTTTTTGTCTTTTTCCTTTTTATCGGTACCAGGGATCGAACTCACGACTGCCTGCTTGCAAGGCAGGCGCTTATGCCGCTGAGCTAAATCCCCAGCCCCCCCCCCCCCTTTTTTGTAATAGCATCTTGTTATGTAGTTTGAGCTGGCTTTGAACTCACTGTGTAGCCTAGGCTAGCCTCGAACTCACCATTATCCTCCTGTCTCAGTCTCCCAAGCACTGGGATTGCAGGTATTCACCATGCTTGGCTCAAAATGTAGTATTTAATCGTAGTATCTGAGAAGTAGGAAGAAAATGTTTGAATGGGAAGGGAAACAAGGGAGGGAGTAGGAGGAAGTGAAGGAAGGGAAAAGGAAAGAAAGAAAACAGAAGGAAAAGCATAGAAACAAAGCTTTTGTGAATAAGGAGAGGAAAGTTTGAAGGGAGGGGAGGGGAGTAGGGGGGAAATAGAAGCAAAATACCATGTGCAGGTACAAATTGCCTCTGATGAATGTGATCATTATCAAAAAAAGTGTACCAATAAAATTAATTTTAAAATAAATGTAGTATTCTGTCTATACCTTGTTTTCCCCATAGTTTGCTTATCAAAGGCCATAGCAATAACTGCTGAAAATGCTAGGTTAGTTAGATCAGTTAAAAAAGGTGAGGGTGAATGTGAAATCTTAGCCCTGTGAATATTTTCAGGTCTGATTTGTTTGGGCGCAGTAGAATTTTTCAGCTTCCTCCCCGTTTGAGCCAAAATGTTAATTTTAACTACTTTGCTTGAAGAACATTTGTTAAAATTGAGACACAACTTCTTTGAGTTTAAAATGAATATAAAAAGATAGGAATCTTCTTGATGCCTTAGACTCATCAATTACAGACCCTGGCTCTAATTTAGTGATGTCCTTAGGCCATTTTGAATAAGTAGGAGCATTTAATACCCTTAGTTAAATGGCCTCAGGCTGTTATTTTGAAAATATTCCTAAGGGCTACTTTTATTTTTTAACTTTTTTACTTTTTCTTAACTGTCAGTTCTCACTTTTCAATGTGTTGATTTATATTTTACAGGGACCCCTCTCTAATCCCTCCCTAATTGGTTCTCTAATTTCTAATTCACTCTATTGCTTGTTATAAATATGTATAAAGGAGACATAATTTGCCATTTTGTAAGGCTGTGGTGGGCCATTAATGAGTAAATTTGTGCAATTAATGCATAGGCCTGAGGGAATCTATTTTGGCAGTGAGTAGAAGGGCCTTTTTGAAGGGAAAGGAGGGGAGGATTTTTAGGTTGTGCAAGCTTTTATGTGTTCCACTGGTGGAAAGAAAGAGTGGCTAAAGAGTTGTTTGCTGGGCATAGTACCACACCCCTGTAATCCTAGCACTGGGAGGCGAGGCAGGAGGATCACTGTGAGTCTGAGGCAAACCTGGACTACACAATGAGATCCCGTCTCAAAAAGAAAGAAGGAAAGAAGAAATAAAGAAAAAAGGTGACTGGTTAATACGATTTGCACAATGGAAGAAAATGAAGGGGAGGGTTTAAGGAAGAAAGCCACCATCTTTTACTGCAGGTGGAGTTTAAACTTGATTTATACTTGTTCTATATAGCAATTAAGAAAAGCGTGTTCCAGCTAGTGGTGACCTCAGCACTGGGGAGGCTGAGGTGGGGGGATTGAAATCTGAAAACCAGCCTGGGTTTACCCAGTAAGACCCTGTTAAGGCTTGTATCCAGATGCCTCCCCCGCAGCCTCATGTGTTCATAGGTGGGGCTTCTGGGAGCTGGCTGGATCTAGAGAATGTGATAGTGGGATTAAGGGCATGTGGTACTCTACATTAGGCCCCTGACTGGAATTAGCATAGCTCTGGGTGTGGCTGAATGGATTTACTGGTGACAGAAGCCTCACCCTGGGTGTGGGTGGCACCACGCAAAAGGTTTGTAGTCTGGATGGGATAAGAGGAAAAGGCAGGTTTCCTGCCTCCCGTCTCCTATGCCGTGGACTGTTTCTCCTCCACCAGGCTACCCTGACTATGCACTGAAACCTGTACAAACTGTGAGCTGAAATAAACTTTCCTCCTTTAACTTGTAGGTGTTGAGTGTTTTGCTCTAGGAACAAAAAAACTAACTAAATTAGACCCTGTCTCAAAAAAAAAAAAAAAAAAGAATGTTTTAACTTAGCAAACATACTTAATGTAAAACACTGTGCTAGGTGTTGAGGGTTAGCATAGTGAATAAGATATGGCTTATACCTTCTGAGGGTTTGTAGTCCACTGAAAGGAGGCCCAGAGAGAAATAATAGGAAGGACTTAACCAAAGGTAGTGGAGTTCAGTCAGTTAGGATTCTCTCAGTTGCAAACAATAGAAAAATCCAACTCAGACTAGCTAACACAAAAAGGGGCTTAATTGGCTTCTGGCGCAGCTTGAGCTGGGGCTTTGAACTCATGGCGTCCCTAGGTTCACTTAGCTGACTAGGCTGGCATCTTTGTTAGGCTGGTTCCCCTGGTGCTGAGGCAGCAGCGCCCCTCACATCTATATGCCCCTTTGAGGAGAGTGTGCTTTTTCCTCGCTTGAGAGAGGCCCTCAAATGTTTTGTCGCTTTTTAGGGGCCCTAACCAAGCCATATAGCCATCTCCAGGCCAATCACTGGTGGTCAGACGGTGGGATACAGTGATTCTAGTATATCCTGTATTACATTGGATGCACTTGGAGCCTGGGGATGGTGCCAACTTTGTGTAAGCACATTGGCGATGCAGGGGAAAGATGGTCCTAAAGGTCTACAGAGGCACTGGAACCACTAGAAGGAGCCATGCGTGCTGTCCAGCCCAGGGATCCACCAGACGTTTCCCCAGAGTCATCATAAAGAGTGGGAGCTAAGGCTGCGCTCGCCAGTGGTGAGGCACACATTGGGCACTGAGACTGAACTATACTTTTAGATTTAAGTATTTTCTATAATTTGAGTCTTGATGAAAATGGAATGCAATGCACAAGAGCATTGACTCTAGAGGCAGAGGGACCCAGTTTTGAGTCTTGGCTCTATTACAGCTAGGTCATCTCCTATCTTCAATTTCCTTTTTGGGAAAACGGGGACAACATTATTACTTACAGGGTTATCTTTTTAGAAGCCTTAAAATCTATATAAAACATTAAGGACTGTGCCCACATGCAGTTAGCTAGAGTTATTATTTGTTCTTTTTTTCAGTCACTGCAGTTGGATAGCTGCTCATATTTGTTAGATCCAAGATAACCTGCATCATAAAAACACTATGGAATCAATGGTTTTAGAAGCATTGTTTTTTTAAATGTGCATCTTGTTCATAAGGCTGAAATCCGTGAGTTAACTGAAACAAAGTCTTGGCGGAGATACAGGCCACTCCAGAGCAGCAGCTGCCGGTGGAGACATGGAAATGCAGACGTACTGCGCCAAGCTCTTGGGGGAGCTAAATGAGCAGCGGAAAAGGGACTTCTTCTGCGACTGCAGCATCATCGTGGAAGGCCGCACCTTCAAGGCCCACAGGAACATTTTGTTTGCTAACAGTGGCTACTTCCGGGCCCTGCTCATCCACTATATCCAGGACAGCGGGCGCCACAGCACCACCTCCTTAGACATTGTCACCTCTGATGCCTTCTCCACCATTTTAGATTTCCTTTATTCTGGGAAGTTGGATTTGTGTGGGGAGAATGTGATTGAAGTTATGTCCGCTGCCAGCTACCTGCAGATGAATGACGTGGTGAATTTCTGCAAGACCTATATCAGATCTTCCCTTGATATTTGCCGGAAGATGGAGAAGGAAGCTGCCCTGGCCGCAGTGGTGGCAGCAGCAGCTGCAGCGGCAGCCCATCAGGTTGACAGTCCAGGCAAGGAGGGGACCTCCTGTGGTACCAAGAGCTTGGTCTCCTGCCCTGTTGGAGCAAAGGAGATTGTGGACTACAAAAGAGAGTCCCCTTGCGATGACTGTGGGGAATGCCACCCCTTGGAACTGGTGGTGAAAGACAACCAAGGCCGAGGCTTGGCTGACAGCGGTCTCTCTGCTCTGCCCAAACGATTAGAGCCCAAGGTGGAGCCCAAGGTGGAATTCGATGCTGCGCAGGTGCAGGCGGAGGCCGAGGTCAGGGAGCCGGTGCTGCAGGGTGCAGCCGCGCTGAGCCCGGCCCACGTGGAGGAGGGCACCCTCGGTGCTGTCCAGGCTTACAGTAACTATCATGTGAAGCAGTTCCTGGAGGCTCTCTTGCGCAATGGTGCTGTCCAGAGCAAAGATGACACTGACCATCACTTCTCTCGAGGTTTGGAGGGAAGACCGGAGGGTGCGGGGATTGCCATGGGCTCTGTGGTGGACATCCAGGCGGACTGGTATGGAGAGGACTCAGGTGAGCTCTCTCAACACTCACCATCTCCGGTCCTTAAGCATGAACCTTCTGTGCCCATATCCTCCATCGTCGTGATCGTGGCCATTGCCATGTCATTATCACTACCATCATCGCCCCCACCATCAATGCTACTACCGCTGTCACTGATGCCATTACTGCCACCACCATCATGGAGCTTCTGCTGTCCACGGGGCCTTGTTTCTTCATGAGTTTTGTGTTTTACCTCGACAGCAAGAGTACAGTTTTCCTTCGTTATCCGTGAGGGATTGGTCCCAGTCTTCCCCTTGAATAAGAAAATCTGTGGATGCTCAAATCCCTGACATAAAATGATATAATATTTGCACATAATCTACACAAATCATCCTGCATCCTTTAAATCATCTCTATATTACTTCCAATACCCAATGCGATGGGAATATTTTTATATAATACTGCCAAAGGATTGATGACAAGAAAAAAGTCTACACATGTTCTCTGAACATACAATTTTTTTCCAAATTTTTTGATCATAGATACTGATGGCTGACTGTGCAAACATGTTGAGGGCCACTTGGAGATGTGGAAAGGTGTCTTGTCTTCCACTAACCAGCAGTGGGATCTTGGTTAAATGATTGAACTTCTTTGAGCCGGTTTTGTTATCTTTGAAATGAGAATGATCTTCCCTGCTTTGCTTTTCTCTCAGAATTGTTGTGAGGACCAACAGAGAAGATTGCCAAAATGTTTGCTCATGTATGATAATGTGTTCTATCACAAAGGAGATTTATGGGGCTGGGGATTTAGCTCGGCGGCATAAGCGCCTGCCTTGCAAGCAGGCAGTCGTGAGTTCGATCCCCGGTACCGATAAAAAAATAAAAGACAAAAAAAAAAAAAAAGGAGATTTATGCTGTTTGTCTTCATGGGAGTCAATTTTTATATCCTTTTGTAGGCTTAGACGTGCATGTTTGTGTCTGAGGCCTATGACTTGGTACTGGGGACTGAACCCAAGGCCTACGGGAATGCTAAACACTGACCTCACCACTGAGCTATACTCCTAGGCCCTAGGCATTGTGTTTCAAGAGCACTTGGCTGTTTCCTCGAGCAATTCTGAAAGAGCAGCTAACATGGTGAACTCTTCTTAACTCATGAGATGATGGATCTCTGGTAGGAGACAAAAACCAGCATGGCTGCCATCTTGCTGGTGAAAAATGACTCCAGAACCTCAAGACAAAAAAATTAATAAATCACATTTCTAGTTCACCCTCAATTTTTTTTTATTTGGTCTTTTTAAGACAGGGTTTCATTATACAGTTCAGGCTGCCCTTTAACTCACAGTGATTCTCTTGCCTCAGCCTCCCAACTTCTGGGATTACAGGTAAGCGCCACCATGCCCAGCTTCACCTTCAATATTCAATAGGGAAAGCCTTTTAGACAAAAGGAGATCAATTGCTTTTATTTCTATTAAACAATTATCTTGAGACTTTTTCACTTTTTTTTTCATCTTAACAATATATCATATGTCTGATTAAAACTAGCCTTGAAAAATTTGAAAATCCTGCTTCTGGTCCTCAGAGACTCTGGTTTAACCAGCTTTTGGTTAAGATACTAACTGACAAAAAAACAAAAAAAAGATACTAACTGCTGCCAGCCATTGGGAGACTGAGGCAGGAGAATTGCTATGAGTTCAAGGCCACCCTAAACTATGTAGCAAGACACTGTCTCAAAAACAAAAACAAAAACACCCTGATATTAACTGCTTCAGTGAACAGACTGTTCTGAAATTCTTTCCGTGTACCCAGCAGCAATTTACAAGCTATGACCACTCTTTCACATCCACTAGACTCTCCTAATGCCTCACGTGTTTGGCAGAGGACATGTGGAGAAACTAAGGCTGGGAAGGAGTTAGTGAATTTCCTGAGAGTGCAGAATGGGTAAGTAAATGGCACAGCTTAGCCCAGAAAGCTGGGCTGGCTTCATTTCACTCACTGCAGAAACTGCAGGGCAGCACAAATGGCTCCAGGATTTCATTGCAACAATTTTGCTCCCAGCCTCTCTGCCTGTAAGCAGAAGTTTACATTTGGGTTTGTGCCACCATCACTCAAGTCCTGTCCTGATCATGTGGAGAGTCAGGTTTCTAACTGCTGGGTTCCATGGCAAGGCAGCCACCTGGGCCCCGGCTGTGTCTATTTTCTATCAGTTTTTTATTTCATTCACACAGCTCTAGGGTAAATTTCTGCCAAGTTCCAGTCCCACACAGTAGGATTGATTTGTTGGGCTATTCATTCATCCTCCAATATTTGAGCACTTTCCTGGCAAAGACATCAAGATAAGTCTGGGATGGATGCAGCCCTCAAAGAACTGATGGTGTCTTAGAAGATGAAAAACAATTAGGAGTTACACTCTTGCCTTTTGTGCTGAAAGATACTCAGAGCATACAGAAAGAGAACTGGCTTCCTGCTAGGAGACTAGGGCGACTGCATAACATGGTGTACCAGGTTGAGAAGAGAGAATCAGGTCATGGAAAACCTAAATGCTGAGATGAGGCTTTACCTTTAGGAACACAGGAGATTTGGGTAGTTTCTGAGCTTGGGAACTGGCAGGATCTATGCCTAAGGAAGACTAATTTGGCCTTTGCACAGGATGTTGTAGGGATAGGAGACCAAGGATGGGAGACCAGTCAGGAAGCTGCTGCACTCACCAAATTCAGTTTCTTATCCATCACATTAGCAGACACTGTCAAAGCCTAAGGTCTTCTCTCTCCCCCTGGACTCCTGCCTCCCAGCTCCAGTATCTCCCACCTCTTCTTGGAAGGTTTGCTGTCTTATTTCCTGATCTTTGCTGAGCCTGCTGCAGTCTGGTTTCCTCCTGCCTCTGCTGAAACTGCTGTTATGAGGTCAGCCACATATTTCTAGGGCTGATCTAGGGAGTGGTGCTCAGGTGTTATTTTACTTGAGACCTATAAGAGTTGACTTGGAGCTCTTTCTTTGCAATTCTCATCTTTTTTTTTTTTTTTTTTTTTTTTTTTTGAGACAGGGTCTCGCTGTGCAATTCAGGCTGGCCTAGAGCTCACTTTGTGACTCAGGCTGGTCTCAAACTCACAACAATCCTCCTGCCTCAGCCTCCCAAGTGCTAGAATTATAAGTATTTATCACCATGCCCGGCCTTCTTTGCTTGATTTCTGATACCATGAGTACCGTTTGTTCTCACCGCCACCTCTTCCTTTTCAGCCTAGTCATGGGATCATCCTCTGTCACTGTATCCAGCATTCCATCATTGGTTGGCTTCTTGACAATGTATCATTCTTCTTTGTCTGTTCATTCATTCACTGAACAGGTATTTATTGTGCATTTACTACATGCTTGGCAATACTAATCACAGTGAACAAAATACAGTCCTTGTCCTCACAGAACCATTCTAGTGTAGGGAGACAGACAACCAGCAAATAAGTAGATGGGCCAGCTGGTGATAAGTCTTGAAGAACAAAAACTAAAGTAGTGAAAAGCTGAGAGTTAAACCAAGACTATTTTATTTAGTATTGGCCAGGAAGACATTTCGACCACTTGCCTTTGAGCAGAAACTCCAGGGAGTGAAAGTCCAAAGCACAGACATCCGGGAGAGGAACACAGAGATGAGGGAGAAGCAGATGGAAGAGCAAAGTGCCAAGGCCCGGGTGCATGATCATACTTATGAAGGAACAAAAGGGACAGCAAAGGTGCTGGAGTGGCTCTGGTGGGCCTCGTAAGACTGAGGAGCAGAGAGGATAAGGTCCAAGAGCCAGGTGAGGACAGGCAAGTAGGGCCTTAAGGCCCTAGGAAAGCCTTTGAGGGTCTCAGCAAGGGGTAATCTGAAGTGATACAGGTAGCTAAAGGATCCTCTGCATCCCGTATGGAGGAGAGGCCATAGGGGCACAAGCATGGGAGCTGGAGGGCCACTTGGGAGGGGACTGCAGTGGCCCAGGTGAGGTGTATATGTTCCCCGAGTCAGTGGAGTAGCAGCAGAGAGCTGAGGTAGAGCTGGGTCAGCACTGTGCCGATTCTCAAAAAGCAAGCCAAGCAGGTTAGATCTCTGTGAGGAGCTTGGGGAAGAGAGGGGTTGAGGCTGATTACGTTTCTAACTTGAGCAATCAATTTAAATGTGTGATGTTTGTGCTGCCCGTTGGCCATACAAATGGAGACGTTTGGTAAGCAATTGTGTAGAGAAATTTGGAGTTCTGGGGAGAGTCAGAGCTGAGGTACAGATTTGGAGCCTTGAGTGGAGCCCTGGAATTCAGAACTATGTATCATGTGAATTTAGAGACCTAGGAGAAGATAAGAGATCTAAGGACCCAGTTCCTGGGAACACCAGCATTTGGAGTCCAGAAAATAGGGAAGATCCAGCAAAAGAGACCAAGAATGGGCAGCTAATAAGGTAGGAAAAACATGAAGAAAAAGATGCATGCCAAGAGGACAATGCTTCTAAAGAAGAAGCCACCTGTATCCAGTCCTTCATCTGCTCAGTCAGCTAACTGAGAATCTGTGTCATGGAGAAGCGTTTCCGTCCTTTCCCCCTCCTACCCCTGCCAGCGTGGTCAGCAAGAGCTGTTCATTTTACTTTTCAGTGTCACCCTCTCTCCAAACCCATGACCGTTGTTTTAGTTCATGCCATGTCTCATCCAGACTCATTGTCCCTGGAGAGATCTTTAAAAGCCACAGCTAGCCTTGGAATCTGATTATAAAAACTGTCCTATTTAAAATGCTAGCTGCCCTGTGAGTCCCTTAGCATGTCATTTCCACCAGGGCAGGGACTTTTGTCTCTTCTTTTGTTTTTGTCTTGTTTTTTGGTACTAAGAATCAAACTCAGGACCTCATGCTTGCCAGGCAGGTGTGGCACTACTTACCTATATTCCTTCATCATTTTTTTTTTTTTTTGGTTACCTGGAATTGAACTCAGGACCTTGTACTTGCCAGTCAGGCGCCTGTGCTACTGAGCTGTATCCCTGGCTCCTTCATCACTTTGAACTTTGCATATATTATGTCATCTGAATAAAACATTTGCATGTCTTTCTCTCTTGCTGGCTCAAGTTCTTGAAGGAACTTGATCTTGTTAAAAATGAGCCTTAACACTGCATGACATGAAAAAGTCATTCAAGTGAACTACTGTATGAGGTATGACTTAAAACTACAGTGAATGTTCATTTTAATAAATAATTACAGTAAAAGACACGTGGCCAATAGTCCCCCTAAAAATCCTGCTCTTACTTCAAACATACTCATCCCATCATCCTTGCCATTTTCCGAAGCAGTTCTGAAGGTCCTGTTTTGTGCCATCAGTTGTGCTGTTGTGGCTGCCTCCGTGACCTAAGTTGATTCTTAAAGGTCACCTTTCATGGTCATTTTGACTTTGGGGAAGAACCAGAAGTTGCATGGTGGCCATGGTGCCAGCTCTGATGAACAGGATGGATGAGGAAACACCACGTTTTTATGAGCCCACCTTTTCTTGCTTGAGTGGCACTTGGCAGTGTCATTCACTGTGTTGTTTTATCACACTTTGTAAAGACACAAAAGAGGACTTCTAGAACTGCTTCAGAAAGTGGGAAGCACAATGGGATGAGTGCATTTGGAGCAAAGAGGAATATTTGAAGGGAATTAATGGTAACATGCCTTTTACTGTAATAATTTTTTTATAAAAAACTTAAACATTCAGGGCTGGTGATATAGCTCAGCAGCACAAGCACCTGCCTCCTAAACATGAGGTCCTGAGTTCAATTTCTTTTTCTTTTTCTTTTTTTATCGGTACCAGGGATCAAACTCATGACTGCCTGCTTGCAAGGCAGGCGCTTATGCCACTGAGCTAACTCCCCAGTCCCGAGTTCAATTTCTGGTACAAAAAAAAAAAAAAAAAAGAATTTAAACATTCACTGTATATTTTGACCACCCCTTGTGATAGAAGTCAGAGCACGAAAGAGGATGGAAAGCGATCAGACAATTCATACCTCTCTAAAGGAGAGATACAGGCTACGGAATTACTCTGTAATAGAGAACTTGCCGACCATGCACGAGACTCTGGATTTGATTCCTAGTAACACACACACACGTGCACATGCACACACACACACACACACACACACACACGTGTGCACTTATGCACCAGATGGAAAAGTAGTGAACAGTTGTTTTTTTTTGTTTTTTGTTTTTTTAACCAAGGCCTTAGGCTGGGCCATTTGACTTTATGTTTTTTGTAAATAATTAAGAGTATAGTACAAGACCAAGCTGATGTGGTAAATGAAAGATTCCTCAACATCAGAGGAATGAGCTAGAGAATGAATTATGAATGGCTGTTTTTATTCTGGAAGCAAATTATTATGAGTCTTTTTGTTCTTTTTTATTACTCTGACTCTTACAAGCATCTCTGAGTCTACAGTATAATCAATGAGAAAGAGCATATCCTACTTATGTAGGCAGAGATGAACTATAAAATGCTGCTTTATCTTAGGAAACAGATTTTGGAGTCGCCAGAGATTTTGCAAAATGTTGTGCATTATCAACATTTTGCAATTTTGGGAGCCAGAAACCAAACAGAATAGTCTCTACCCTCACACAAAAGGAAATCAACTTTTTCTGGGAATTCTGCTTGCCATACCTTTTGCAGTATTACAAAGAAGACAAATCCCTGTTAGGTACCCTGAGATGTTACCAGAGGAGTCAGTCCAGTGTTGAAAGAGATAATATGATTAAGGCCACTTAATCGGTAAAGAAATGCCGGGGAAGCCAAGTGTGATGGCACACTACTGTAATCCTAGCACTCAGGAGACTGAAGCAGGAGGGTTGTTGTAAATCTGAGACCAGCCTGGGGCTACAAAGTGAGCCTAAGGCCAACTTACACTGCATAATGAGATCCTGTCTTAAAAAAAAAAAAAAAACAGGAATGCTGGAGAGATGATGATGATGATGATGATGATGATGGTGATTATCGACTAACATTTGAAAGTGCTAACTCACTGCCAGGTCCTGGATTTAGCTATTATTTCATTTCGTTCTTACTATAATCCTATGAAGTGGGAAGGATAGTCATACTTATACTACAGATGAGAAAAATGAAGCTTAGAGAAGTTAAAGGTGATGTCCAAGGGCACACGGTGGGTGGTAGTGGCAGAACTTGAACACAGGTTTTGGATCCCAGAAAGTCTGAGTTACGAGCACTGTAGTTGATGCTCTGGTAACCAAAGTTGCAATTTTTTTTTTTTCTTTTTAGAGACAGAGTCTTGATATATAATTCAGGCTGACCCTTACACTCACTGTGTAACCCAGGCTGGTCTCAAACTTGTGGGAGTCCTCCTGCCTCAGCCTCCCAAGTGCTGGGATTGTAGTCTTGTACCACCATGCCCAGTTTGAATTATAAATCTAGAAGGGCACAGAAAAACAAAATAGATCTCAGAGTAATGCAATAAATGTAACTCAAAAAACGAGAGCTTTTATACAGGTGGATGATAATCATGATGTCATTTGAATGGTTGTATGAACAGGGTGGGGAAAATAGTTGGAATGAGATTTAAATGAATTCCTGATTATTTGTTGATTTCATATATAGAGAGTTTCTGGCTGTGGTGGCACACACCTGCGTTCCCAGCGCTTGGGAGGCTGAGGAAGGATTGCTATGAGTTCGAAACCAGCCTGGGCTACATAGAGAGACCCTGTCTCAAAAACAGAAGAAAGAGGAAGATGGGGAAGGAGGAGGATTGATGAGAAGGAGGAGGAAGAAAAAGAAGGAGAAAGGAGGAGGAAAGAAGGAAGAGAAAGAGAGGAAGAAGAAAGAAAGAAGGAGAAAGAAGGAAGAGAAAGGAAGAAGGAGGAGGAGGAGGAAGAAGAAGAAGGAAAAGTCAGACATATAGAGTTAATATGAGTTTCAAACAATTTAAGAGCCAAGTTTGGTGGCACACACCTGTAATCTTAGCACTCAGGAGGCTGAGGCAGGAGGATCATTGCAATTTGAGACCAGCCTGGGCTACAAAGTGAAGTCAAGGCCAGCATGAACTGCAGAGTGAGACCTCGTCTCAAAATACAACACAATTTGAGGTGCATTATGGCGAATCTGTTCTACATAGTCGTGGAAGAAATTCCATGAATTTTGGCCCAAAAGTATGACCCAATCATAGGAGTATTTTTGATTTTTGAAGGTAATGAAATCATTTCAGAGGGTCTAAATTAGTCATCTCAGGCTGCTGTAACAGACGGGGACATATTGGGTGGCTGAACAGAAATGTATTCTCTCATCGTTGGGAAGCTTGGAGTCCTAGATCAAGGTGCAGGCAGGGCTGTGTTTTGGTGTTTCTCCTGCTTTGCATAAAGCCATCTTCTCATGGTACCTCACCAAAGCCTTTCCTGTATGTGAGGCTCATGGGTAGGGTGAGAAGCGGTGGGGGCGGGGGAGAAATAAACATCAGTCAAGCTCTGACGTCTTTTCCTCTTCTTACAAGGCTGCAGTCCTAGCAGTAGAGAGAGCCTCAACTTTGTGACCTTATTTAGCCTCAGTTATTTCCTAACAGGCTGTACCTCCAAGAACAGCCACATTAAGAGGTATAAATTCTGTGGTGAGGTCTCATTTCTATCTGTCTGTCTCTCTTTCTGTTTTTCTCTCTCTATCTTTGAGACAGGATTTCATTATGTAGTTCAGGATGGCCTTGAACTCACTTTGTAGCGCAGGCTGGCTTTGAACTCAGGATGATCCTCCTGCCTCAGCCTCCCAAGAGCTGGAATTACAGGTGTGCACCACCACGCTCAGCTCACTTCTCACCTTACAATGAAGTCAAACAGTAGACATTCCCAGAGTGTTGGTTTGGAAAGCTTTTCCAGGTATCCACACAGTAGCATGTGAGTTCTGTGGTTGTAATGTAGGCTGTGTTTCAGACTGTGAGCCACATTCAGAGAAACCTGAGAGCTGGTACCTCCTGTTGTTCCCCATAACCTGATATCAGAAGCCCACTTTACCCTCCAGCTGCCTGGGAGCCAGACAGGGTTGTAACTGCAGACAGGGCCTTGCCGTTGGCTGGTGGTGGAGCTGGTGTCTTCCCTGTGTATCTGGCCGGTGGAACCCCCCAGCACCAAATCCCTGCCTTCAGGGGTGGCTGGGGTTGTCACTGCTTACAGTGTAGCTAAATTGATGCATTGGGTTCTTTAGGTGATGTGCTGGTGGTCCCCATCAAGCTCCACAAGTGTCCTTTCTGCCCGTACACGGCCAAACAGAAGGGCATCCTCAAGCGCCACATCCGCTCCCACACGGGCGAGCGTCCCTACCCCTGCGAGACCTGTGGCAAGAGGTTCACACGACAGGAGCACCTGCGGAGCCACGCCCTGAGCGTAAGTGCCCCCGCCACAGCGTGCTGGTTGGCAGTGTTCCCGTGCCAAGGGCTATTCCTCAACTTACCCAATGTGAGAGCAAAGGCAGCAGCTTGGATTTCCTGAGGATTCTGAGCATATGTTTCTGCTGCTGAATTAAAACTGGGCTGGCTGGGTATGGGGCGTATGTCTGTAATTCCAGCACTCAGGAGGCCGAGGCAAGAGAGTCGCCACGAGTTTGAGACCAGCCTTGGCTACACAGTGAGTTCAAGGCCAGCCTGAACTATGCAGCGAGACCCTGTCAGAGAAAGAAAAGAAGGAAATGGGGGAGAATGCTGGTAGCCCTTAAAATTAAAGCAAATGGTAACAAACTTGCTTTCTGAGGGAAAGAGTCAAGAAAATTAAGAACTTGCTCAGAAATCGCTGTCATAAGGCAGAGAACAACAGGGCTGAGACAAGGACTTGAGGGTCTCTCTCTGTGATGCCAAAGGGAAGCTGCACCCTCAGATTCCCACCTGGGGTGGGAGCAGGGTGCTGCCATTTAAGAGGTGACTGTGGGCAGCAAAGGGGGCTCCAGCCCAAGGGAACTTCTCTAGCTAGCTGCCCTTGGGACTGTTTCCACGTGGGCTGGTCATTCAGGCCACTTAGAAAGATTTTGCATTTATGATCACCTTTGAACAAGGTAATCTCTAAAAAAATCCAACATGCAAATAGGTTAGACTTCAAAAGATTTTATCAAAAACATGGAGCTGGAAGCTGGACATAGTGGCACGTGCCTGTAATTCCAGTTCTTGGGAGGCTGAGGCAGGAGGATTATAGGTCTGAATCCAGCTGGACTACAGAATGAGACTGTGTCTCAAAACCTCATCGTCATCAACAACAACAACAAAATGGAGGTATAGCTCAGTGGGTGAAGGTGGGGGGAGGATATGTGAGGCCCTAGGTTCAGTCCCCAACACTGAAACAAAAACTGGCATGCATGGTTCTGTGTGCCTACAGTCTCAGCACTCTGGGAGGCTGATGCCAGAGGATCATAATGCTAGCACAGCATAGGCAGTTTAGTGGTTTAGGAGTGGGGAGGAAGAGGAGGGAAAGAGGATAAAAAAAGATATTGTACAGGCACTCCTGATAACGAATGTGATGATTATATAAACATATACTAATAAAAGTTTTTAAAAACTCAATAATTTAGACCTCTTTTTTATTTTTAAAATTTTTTTGAGACTGGATTGCACTGTGCAATTCAAGCTGGCTTGGAACTGCAGCGATCCTCTTGCCTCAGCCTCCTGAGTGCTGGGGTCACAAGGGTGTGCCACCACAGCCAGTTAGACCTCTTTTTAAAAAGAGTTAAGGACATAGCATATTGCAAAGGATTTGGATTTAACTTCCAGCACCACAAACAAACAAGTGAAAACCTCCTAGGATGGGATAAAATATCACTAGGACATTCTAAAATATACAAATAACTGTTACAACAAGATAGCAAAAGGAGAATCCAATTAAACACAGGCAAAGGATTTGAATAGAAATTTCTCCAACATTACTCCTCATGGGGTAAATGCAAATCAAAGCCACGACAGGTGCCACTTTACACTCACTCTCCTCACCCACTGCAATGGTGATAATCATTGCTCAGTCTGCAGTAGCATCTCTTTGTCCCCTCTCCTCCCCTTTGTTGTTGTTGTTGTTATTGTTTATTGTTTTTTGAGACAAGGTCTTATGGGTAACTCAGGATGGTTTCGAACTGGACTCCCCTGCCTGAGCCTCCCACACGCTTAGATTACAGGCTTGTGCCAACACAGCCGCTGTTCCTTCCTCTAGTGTATTCTGTGTCTAGCACTCTGAAAGAGAGGCTCTGATGGCTTCTTCGAGCCCTTCTGACTGGAGTTCCTGAAGGATGGACATGTTAGAAAGAAAGTTCCTTTTGCAGAGGTGCTACTGTCCTTGAAAGGAGCTGTGTGAGGAGGAGACTGGGTTCTCTCTTCTAGGCAATAAAGCTCTTCTCCTGAGTGAACAAGGCATTTATCAGTGAGAAAGTTAGGGCAGGCATCTGCTGACACATCTGGGTTATCTACTGTCTTACAAATAATCCAAGGTGAACAGTGCTATGCCACTGAGTTATATCCCCAGCCAATCCAAGGTATATTTTATAAAAGCCTAAACCTTAATTAGGTGAATACTCTTTAGGGGGCAGACAAGCAGTAGGGAGGGATCCAGAAATGAATGAAATCGCCTCTATCCCTGTCCTCTTGGAGCTCACAGCCTACTAAATTTTATCACTGATCTGTGAGAAGCACAAAAAAGAAGACAGGATACAGCTCAGTGGCACAGGTCCTGCCTGGCAAGCTCAAGGTCCTCAGTTTGACTCCTGGTACAAAAAAAAAAAATAAATAAATAAATAAACAAACAAACAGGAGACATATACAGTCAAGGAACCTAAGCTGGCCTAGAATATCACGGGAGACTTCCTTGAAAGGCCTAGAGAGGGGCGAGGAGTTGGAATGCGGAGGAGGGAACACCGCATGCATGGCCAATGTCCCTGGGGTGGAAAAGACCTTGGTGAGACTCAGACAGGTAAAGAAGGCAAGGGAAAGAGGACAGGAAGTGAGGCTCGGGATCAGGCAGGGCCCAAGTCACACTGGGCCCCTGGAGCGTGGCTCAGCCCCTTCCGTGTGACATGTGTCTGCTTGTGGTCACAGGTGCACAGATCCAGTCGTCCAATCATCTGCAAGGGCTGCAGAAGAACCTTCATGAGCCACCTGTCACAGGGGCTGCGGCGCTTCGGGCTATGTGACAGCTGCACTTGTGTCACAGACTCTCACGAGGACGATGATGATTTGATGCCCATTAACCTTAGCCTGGTGGAGGCTTCGTCCGAAAGCCAGGAGAAGAGTGACACAGACAATGACTGGCCAATCTGCGTGGAATCTGGTGAGGAGAACGACCCTGCCAGAGAGGGCTCTGATGACAGGCCACGGATTCAGCCCAACCTACCAGACCATGAGACGCTTACATAGCAATAAATTAGTAGGGACGATGCTTTAGACTGTGTTCTTGCTCATTCTGTGGTGAAAGGCACTGTTTTCATGGGAATCCCAAAAGGAGCATTTTTTTCACTGTCACTATAAATGTATTTTTGTTAGGTTACTTGATAGAGGCTGGGTTTTGTGACTTAAAAGACTGACAGACAGCCTTTTAGTGTGATACCCTTGGTTTCTGAGGGTTTTGCGGGCTGTTCCTTAATTTTGAGTGAGTCAAGGTTGGATGAGAGGCTTCTTGTCTTTCCTACTATGCATCTAACTTTGGTTGGGAGGAAGAGAAGAAAACCACCAAACTTGTTTTCACATTGTCTCAGTCTTCTGCATTCCTTTGTCATCATCGTCTTTCTCTGAAAAGGTGGAAAGAACATGCAAAGTTTTGGAATCAGTCGTCCCTCTGCCAACTCTCTCCTAATGGATTCCACATTTTAATTTTCTGGGAAAGTATTCAAGAGGAAGTTTCATTCATATAAAGTTAGGCAGGGACATCTGTCTACACGATAATAAAAGTCACTGTTGGGAGCTAAGGCTGTAATTTTAAAGGCTGGGAATACTTACGTGCAGATGAGCATGGAAATGAGCTGAAAGGCTCATGAAGGGCGCCCTAGATTGCCCAGGTGAATTAGACTTTACATTTGCCTCAGAAAGAAAGCCTATGAGCCAGGGTGTGGCGGGTGATTGCCCTGTCTGATTTGGGATTTGTTACACACACACACACACACACACACACACACACACACACACACACACGTTCTGATATCATCCAACAAGTTATCTTCTCTAAACTCAAAATGCTCTCCTGTGTTTTCCAGCCATTTCTCAGAGACACTGCTGTGTAACCTGGAAATGTAGCCACTCGATGTTGTTTTACTCAGTTTATGCCCCAAAGTTGAATTGGAGGGAAAGTGTAAGTTCACCAAAATCATTTAGCTTTTAAAAGACCTTGAAAGAAAGAGAAAATTAATAGAACAGGTTTTAAAACTTGTCTGCCCATTCTGCAGTCATTCATTTTAACAAAAATGCCTGAACTTTTTCTCTTTTATTTTTTTGTTTTTTATTTTTGAACTTTTTCTCTTTTTAGACAGGTCTCTTTGTGTAGTTCAAGCTGGCCTTAAATTCACTGTGCAGCCCAGGCTTGAACTCAAGATGATCCTCCTGCCTCAGCCTCTCAAGTACTGGGACGACAGGAAGGTGGCACCACACTTGGCAGGGCTAAAAGTGTTAAAGGATGGGAAATACTGTGAATAAAGGATGTACGTGACAGTACTTTTATAATTATGTTAAAGTACCCAAAATGCATTCTAAAAGAAAACCTCTTGCTTTCCTATAAGTTTAGTACAGTGTATCTCAAAAGGCAATACAATTGCTTTATGTGTGTGCCTCTTGAACAACAATAAAAGCATTATAAATGAGCTTATAAGTGTTGACCTGATTGTTGAAGAGTTAGAAAAATTTGGTTTGGGGTTGTTCGTCTTGCAATGCAAGAGTGCGTGTCTACCCTAGAAAATTGTTTAAATGATACTTCTTCATTGTAGTTATAGTACTAGGACAGTGCTTGTCAAACTATGGCCACAGGCAGGCACTGCTCTATAAATCGTATTCTGAGCCAGATGATCAGAAATTAAGCATATAGAAAATTTTAGGGAGGCTGGGGATTTAGCTCAGCAGCATAAGCGCCTGCCTTGCAAGTGTGTGGTCGTAAGTTTGATCCCTGGTACTGATAAAAACAAAAAAGACAAAAAAAAAAAAAAAAAAAGACCCCCTGTGGTACTGGGGACTGAACCCTGGGAGAACTGAGGTACATCCCCGGCCCTTTCCATTTTTCCATTCTGAGAACGTTTCACTAAGTTGCCCAGCATTGAGCTTGTGATCCTCCTGCCTCAGTGTTCCCAAGTCTCTAGAATTACAGGTGTACACTGCTGCACTCAGGTTTTATGAAACTGTGACATTCTGTGACATGTGACACCCACATATATGATTAGTGGCCTTGTCTTGAACAGGGTATGGACCAGCTCAGGGCGGCACTTGGTAAGGCCTCCCTCAAGGTTGGATACCAGGCCATCCAGAGAGATCACAGATTGTTCTGCAGATTAGAAATTTAAAAACTGGTCTTGTCCACAGGTCATATTGAAAAATATTATTCTAGATCCAGAGTTACACACAAAATAATCAGGGACTAGAAAATTTTTCTTACCTAAAGTGAACATATTAGGTATTATTTTATTTATATCTTTTTGAGACAGAATTTCACTATGCAATTCAAGCTGGCCTTGAACTCACTTTGTAGCCCAGGCTGGCCTCAAACTCACAGTGATCTTCCTGCCTCAGCCTCCCAAGTTGCCAGGATTATTTTAAAACAGAAAGACCATGGCAAAAAGAAACTTAAATGGATGTGTAGGTTTATTTTCAAGGAGTATGTTTGTTAGTTTTGCTTTTTTGTCTATTCCTGATGTGTTAAATATGACTCTTTTTTTGGTACTGGGGATTGAACTCACGACCTCATGCTTGCCAGGCAAGCTCGCATGCCACTGAGCTAAATTCTCAGCCCCCTAAATATGACTTTTCTACCTCACAGTTCAACTTCTCTGCCTACTGTCTCTGGTGGCTCCATGATCCTCTTTGGTATCCTGTGACCTATTCATATCACTGGGTAAAAAATTTCACATTAGAGATTTCACTGTAAGACAGCGCTTCTCAATGGGGAGCAAGTTTGCTCTGTAGGTTTAAACATCTGGCAGTGATAGGGACTGTCCTAAGTTGTGACACAGGACAGGGCGCTGCCAGATTTTAGTGGATCGAGGCCAGCAATGCAGCTAAACATCCTGTAATCCATAACACAGCCCCACGTAGCCAAGGGGTATCTATTGCAACACGTCAGAAACCCACCCTAAGATAAAATGGACTTTCCCCCACTTTGTCTGTTTGTTTGTTTGAGACAGGGTCTCACTATGTAGCTTAGGCTGGCATCAAACTTGAGCTGATGCTCTTGCCTCAGCCTCCCTAGTGCTGGGATTACAGGTGTGCAACCTCACATTTGGCTTCTGAAGTTGAATTTTTTTTTTTGTCGGTACCAGGGATCAAACTCACGACTGCCCGCTCTTAAGGCAGGCGCTTATGCCGCTGAGCTAAACCCCCAACCCCTATGAAGTTGAATTTTTAAAATGACCTTTAATAAGTGATTTTTAATTTTGTTTTCTGTATTTGAGGTCAAAAGGTCCACAGTTTACCCAAAATCTGATTTTGGTTTGTGATGTAGAAACTTGGAGATTGTGATTCATACATCCAAAACTAGGCTCTCACCTTTTTGTTAAATTACAAAGTAGCAGAATTATTGGAATGAAAACAGAGCATGAAACTTACTATTTAAAGGACTTGCTTTCTTTCCTGATGTCTGATTGTTGCATTCCTCAGCTACTGCTTGAAATTTGTGGAACATGCAATATGACCAGTCATCGATAATGACAATGAATTCCATCACTTTTAAAAGAGATACTTCTTTTATACTTGGACCATCAGATCATAAACTGGCCTTCTTCTTTTTTATTTTTTTTTTAAAGAAAAACTGGTCTTCTTTTAAATTTTTGTCCACATTTGATGGTCAGTATTTATAATCCATTTCTTTGATGCTTGATTTCTGGGGTTTCACCCCACCGCCACCCCTTTGTGAGGAGTGGAACCCAGGGCTTCACACATGCTGGGCAAGTGTCCTGTCAGTGAGCTATACCCTCAACCTGTTGTGACATTTTTATAAGATATAAATTCACATTGGGCCCAACAATCATCATTAGTAGTTGAGTTTATATTCTGGCATCTTTTCAACTCATTCAGTCCAAATCCAAAAAGGGATATTTTTGTCCCATGGTAGATATAGTGTATCAGTGAGAATAAGATTCCTACTTGTAATAGAATTACAAAGTGACATTCTTGAAATATTTATTTCTCTTAGGGGAAGGAGACCCTCTCTTAAGAACTGGGAAGGAACTGTAAATAAGACTTGTAAGTATTTAATTAAAAGATGACCCTAATGCTACTTTAGGCATCACATATACTAAAAAAGGAAATATGAAGCTGGCCATGGTGGTGCAAGCCTGTACTCACTGCATTTAGGAGGGCAAGACAGGAGGATTACTGTGGTTTAAAGCCCAGGGATATATAGTGAATTCAAGACCAGCCTGAACTACATAGTGAGACTCTGTCTCAAAAAAACAAAAAAGAAATAAAAAAAGAAATGACCCTGAATATTATGATTTCTGATCATTTGGCAAAAAATGTCATTGTGTTTTAAATTTTTTAATAATTAAGATTATTTGTGGGCCGAGGATTTAGCTCAGTGACATAAGCACCTGCCTGGCAAATATGAGGTTGTGAGTTTGATCCCCAGTACCAAAAAAAAAAAAAAAGAAAAGAAAAGAAAAAAGATTATTCATACATTTCTGATATACAAAATGATCATATTCATTGTAAGGAATTTATATCTATATATGATATATTTTGATTCTTCTTTTTTTCCCAATCCCCTCCCCTCCCTTCAACCCATTTTCCCCTCTCTACTTACAAAGATTTGTTTCCACTTTTTCTTTCCGTAATCATTTTTTTCACTTCCTTCCTTCTCCTTCCCCCCACCCTAGTTCTTTTTTCCTTTTGAACAATTCTTCCCATTTCACAATATCTGTTGTATATTTTAGTCTTATATGAATGGAAAATAAATATATGAAAAACTGTTCAACATCACTGGTCATTTGAGAGATGCAAATTAAAACAGCGCTGAGATTCCACCTCACCCCGGAAAGAATAGTTATCACCAAGAAATTAACCAATAACAAATGGTGGCGGGGCTGTGGGGAAGAAAGGAACCCTTCTTCACTGTTAGTGAGAGTGTAGAATGGTGTAAATATTTTTCCAGCCACTAAACTTTGAATATTCTTTAAGAAAGCTGCCCCTTAGTGACCTGCAAAATGTTGTGAAGTTGAGTATTCTGGCTGCAGATGTTATGGTGGGTTCCGCTGTTGTTCATTGAGGTTGTAACAGACCTGTCAAGAGGAGATTACCAGGTAGGGCTGTGTGTGCTGACCCGGAGCGGTGGGAGCAGTGAGGTGGCCTTGTCCACTGGCCTCGGACTTCTATGGGATTTTTATCTAGGTTTGCTTGTGGGTCCTTTGTGCATTGGGGAAAGAAATATGTCTGTGAGGTCTGGCATCGAGGGGTATCGAGGGAATAGGGTTGGGTGGACGAGAAGTCCCTGTCTCACTCTGTTCGAGCATTGCCACTGTACTTCCTATTGTTGATTTCTGGGGCTTGTTTTATGCTTTTTTGTGACTATGCGATCCTCTGACCCAAAGCGGGGGCATTTTATTCAGTTGCATATGATAGATGGTGTTTCATTGCTTTTTGTTTCTTTTACGGTTCTCTTTCTGCCTAATATTCCTAGATTTCTCAAACCTTTCATTGTATTACTGGAAATTTGAATTCTTGTCTTCAAATGATGCTTCTGTAGAGATAAATGAAAAGTTTTGGAGGAGAAAAGAACAGTTTTTAAGTTGCTAACATATCCTAGTTTTAAAGGGTGACAGTAGTCATGGTATCATGTGATCAGATGATACCAGATCTTCATAGCAGAAGGTGAACATTTGGCATCTGTTTTGACCCGCCATATAGATAATTTTTCTGTTGCCATCTCTTTCTTGACAACTCTGGCTTTGTGGGGGCAATTTTTATATCTATTATTTGATTGGAAATCTTTGTCAGTGGACATTAGGGTGGGGATTAGTTATTTGATGAAGGTTTCACAGTAACATGCTTGAAGATTTTGAGGGATGGCATTGATTGGAGATACAGGTTTTGAAGTTGTGTGATGGATATGGATGATTTGTCAGGAAGACTGAGAAGGGAATGATCAGGATTTTCTTTGGTAGCAGAAAAAGAACCTACCAGACGGTTGTACATTTTTCACTACTCATCCATAGCCCCTGTCAAACTTCTACTATCAGAAAAATATGAACGGTACTGTAGTGCTTTCTGGAGGTCTACTTAGGCTCAATTGAATATTTACATTCAAGCTTATCAGCCACCAAGTTTAGCATCGGATTCTCTTAGAAGGATAAAGAATGGGAAGCACAGCTGGTGGCATTGAAGAACCAGGTGTTGTTCCTCCACCTGAGTTCCTGCATCTGCCTGTATGATGTAGCTCAGCTGTCTCAATTATGGAAGCTGCCTTGGTTTAAAAGCCTCTTGTCTCACAGGAGCAGATATCTCTTATAACAACCCCGTAGACATAATCTCTGAGAATTCTATAAAAGTTGTGTAGTTGCAAGAGTCACTACTTGGGAAGCCCAAAGCTATGGCTTCTTATCAGGCATTTATATGGGGAACCTGGCCAAGAGTGCTGATTGTCAATACCGGGACAAGACAAATGA